ATAGCATTTGGTAGAGTTCACATCATTCCTGGCCCCACTCCAAAAAAACAATATTTGACTTAATACGCTTCTCAAATAGAAACCAGGTACTGACTGAATAAAGAAATTAGCATTCAACCCGTTTGATCAAAAAGTAGTGGGCAATTAAACTACCTTACAGCAAGAAAGCCTTTTGATTGGGATAAAGGGATTGAAGCCTCACTTATCATCTGACAGTGGTGTTTTATTGTCTTAACATTGTTATAGTTTAAATATTTGCAATTTTATTGAAAAAATTGCTTGGTTAAAGTACAGATTGTGACAATGAATTAGTTATCTCTGAGCTATTTCTAAAAGTAAATATCTTTGGGGTTCTCTATGCTTAAAAAGAAATTAGTTCTTCCTTGCAATGTACGGATGAAACTTTTTAGTTATTTAGTAAATCATTCATTCAAAGACAGCAGGTTCTCTGCTATCCCGGGATACTTTACAGTATGACTCCGAAGAGCTTTACATTGTGTTGCCATCATCTGGGGCCAGAGGATTGAAGGCTTCGAATAAAGATGCTAAAGATTCTAGGACCAAGTCACTGTGGCTTTTCTGTGAAACATTGATAGAGTGTTCCAGCTAGTTCACATCTCATACTTTCCTGACTATTTCTTATGGATCTCTTGATTCTATGTTCAAGATATATGTATGCTTTTAAATTCCTGCATTCCAATTTTGACGCTGGGTTTTTCTTTGTATCATCTGCAATTCCTTGCACAGCTGAACTCACAATCATTAAATAGTGACTTGTTTTTAAAGCATCTAATTAAAAGTTCTTTGTAAATTAATGTTTAATGTTAGAAAATGTGTAAATGGCCTGTGAAAGAATAATGCACATTGAGAAAATACAAGTTAAAAAACTTGGGTAACTTTTAAAAGAGATATATTCTTGCTTACCAATTACAGCCATAGCTTCTAAATCAGTGAAATATTATTTTATTTTTAAATATTTAAAAATGAAAAAATCTTCATTTCATAAAGGAAATAAGAGAAATGAGATGTGAAAATGGAGAAATGGAGGAAGGAATACTTTTTTTTCTTGGAGGGATAGTCTTTAAAATGTTTTGTGTTCTCATGTAGCAATGAGTGGAAATAGAGACATCAGGAGATCACATAAAACATTCATGCAAATAGTTTTGTTTTATTTATACTACTTCCAATTTAGAATGTTATTTCTTTTATCTAGAACAGTCTTGAGCAGTACCATTTTACTAGAAAGAGCAAAAGGTTCTTTTCATTTTGGTTTTTATCTGAATTGCCAGGGGCTATGTTTTAGATGAGTTTTTTAGATCAAATCTGGTTCTAAACTGGGAGAAGTACTAAAGTCTTCCATGGGCTTACACATGCTCAATGGGCAGGAGACCTACTTCCATATTTCTCCTCATGTTTTATAACACATGTTAACAAAAAATCATGGGGAAGCTCCACAAATGTAGTGAGACTGCTGGCATTTTTCAGTGCTACCTGTCTATTTAGAGAAGTGAAGAGGGAACAGGATGGGTCACCCCAAAATATGCCTCCCTGGCAGAAGGATTGTTTCAGGCTCAAAATGGCAGACAATAGAGGAGCTCTGCAAGCCATGTAGAAACAGTTCCCTGTTACAAGAGCACTTTGTGCTCACACAGGACGTCTCCACCTGCAAGGGCATGCCTCTCCCACCAGGAAGATGAGAATGACTGAATCTGGACAAGATCCCATCAGTGGGGAAGGTCTGAATGTGCATCTGCAAGACAGTGACTCCTGCATTTACTGAACTTTGCCTGAAAGCCTGACTCTCTAGCACCCCTGACATCTTCTTTAGTCTTTAGCAGGAGTTGGTATTTAAGGTGATAGCTTTGGGGGAGTTACTCAGTTTTCCTGGTGTCTGTGTATATACAGTAGGTGCACATATCATTAAACTGCTTTGGTTTTCTTCCTGCTAATCTGTTTTCTATTACATGAGGTCTCAGCCAAGAAGCTAGAAGCTAGAAGGGTGGAGAGAAAATTGTTTTTCTTCCCTGACAGTAGTTTCTCTAGTATTTTGTTTCCAAGTAAAAATTCATATTTTATAGATCAACACTTTGTAAGCAGTATCTTTTCTCAAAATTGTAACTGAAGCCTTGTGATTTGGCTCCTTGGTGAGTCAGAAACTGTACAACCTGAGTGTTCGCACAAAGAAAACTTTATTTGCAGCAAATAAGGAGATCACAGGCGAATGACTTCCAAAACAATGACCCCCAAGCAAAGGTGGATACATTCCTTTTATTTAGAGTTTGGTGAATAGGGGATGATAGGGGAGATTTGTCATCATATGTAGAGGTAGGCATGAGGTCACACATGCCTCTGAAAGGAAACCAGCCTATAGACACATTGTATATTGTGGAAATGAGGCTCTTGTTCCTCCTTGGATGGAGATTTTAATATTATAATGAGGTAAATGTGGTCATCAGTCATTCTGAAAGTCATGCTGTGGTCCATCTGCACAGGCATGAATCAGGGATTAAGCTCAAACTGGTCAGGGTGGTCTGAGTCAGCTGGAGGTCTTCTCAGGGCAGGTGCTTGAGGGAAGGGTGGTTTCTGGTTTCCATTTGTCCGTGTTAAGAGATAAGCTGGAAAGAAGAGCTCAAGGGAAAATGTGGCACAAAGGTTGGCAAGTACAAGCAGGTGGGCACTCAAGGTCAGGTCTTGGAGTCTAGCTGGTGACAATATGAGATAAAAGTCTACGCGTTCATTCATTGATGGATATTTTGTCTGCTGCCAACTTTTGGCCATGGTGAATAGTGCTGCTATGAGCATGTATGTAAATATAACTACTTTTTGGAGTTGTACAGCATACAATTTTAAGGAGACAGAAAAAGTAGAATAAGTTTTCAAAATAACTAAATGCTAAGAAAGTAAAGATAGTCTAGATTACATCATAATGAAAGACAAACCACCACCACCATTCTCACAGTGCATGTTCTGGACAGAGATAACGAAGGTCTGGTGTTTCTTCCATGTGTCCTCCTGGCGAACTCTCTTAGATAAATATAATCAGTATAAATGAAATGTAATATAATGAAATCACTTCCACTCTTGAACATGGGCTGCACGTAGTGGTTTTTTTCCCCAGAGAAATGAAAAGGGAAAAAAAAGAGAGAGTAAATTGGCAATGGGAATATCTGATGAACACAACCTCAACCAGGTGATCAAGGTTGAGTCATGTTAGTAATATATATTCTTCCTATAATGTGATGACATGACTCTGGACTTCTATAGTCTTCGTCCCCAAAATGCATCACCCCAATCTGATTTTGAGAAAAACATCAAATCCCCCACTGAAGAACACTCTAAAAACACATCTGACTAGTACCCCACATTGTCAAGATAATTGAAAACAAGGGAAATTGGAGAAATTTTCAGAACCAAAAGGAGCCTGAGAAGATATGATGGCTACATACGGGCAGAGTCCTGGATGGGATCCTGGCATGGAGAATGGACCTCAGAAACTAAGGATGTCTCAGATCATAGTTAGTAACAATATATCCTCAAAGCAAAAAGTACACCTGGCCAAGCAAAGTAAGGAATACCTTACAGTTTCTATAAGAGAGACACGGAATGCAGTCTGAACTCAAGTCTGAAAGAATGACTAGAGCATTGTTAAGACCCCAGTTGGGAGTTCTCATCACAATAATTTTTTTTTCTTTTTCTTTTTTTTCCCCCCTGTGTCCGTAAGAGATGATGAATGTTATCTAAACTTATTGTAAAATCCTTTCATGTAGATGAATGTCATTATTACATTGTACACCCTAAACTCATGCCGTGCCATATGCCAATTATATCTCAGTAAAACTGGAGAAAACGAATCAAGGGAAAAAAAAAAAACAAAACAAATTCATGTTGTCTTGGCAATACAATGTCTCATGGAAAAGAGAGGAAGTTGAACAGGTAATTGCCATAATTCTACAAGGACACTCTTTCTAGAAACTGTAGCTTTATAGTCCCAAAGAATGAAGAAGCAAAATAAAACAATTGTCATCCAGAAGCTCAGAAAATTAGGTTATTTCAGTGACAACAGTGCACTCTCTGAAGACCAGAAGCACTGGTCTCAAAATACTTGGTAACAGAAAGGCGTGTGTGAGCCATTAAATATTTCTCTGTCAAAAGTTCAGCAGACCTGGCAGGTTTTCTTCTCTTCCCTTTTTTCTCCCTTCATTTTACTTTTTTGAGGATTTGGGGTTTTTTGTTTGTTTATTGTTGTTTGTTTGTTTTTGGATATAACCCAAATTTATCTAAAGTTTCTTTCTATAAAAAGAAAAAATATTATTTATGTATTTATTTGAGAGAGAGTGAGCGAGAGAGAGGGAGAAAGAGAAAGCATGAGCTGGGGAGCTGCAGAGGCAGAGGGAGAAGCAGGCTCCCCATTGAGCAGGGAGTCTGATGTGGGACTCGATCCCAGGACCCTGGGATCATGACCTGAGCCAAAGGCAGATGCCTAACCAGCTGAGCCACCCAGATGCCCCTAAAATCTGTCTGCCTTGCTTGAAACATCATCAAAATTCAAAGACAGAGATGGTGGGGGTAGAGGAATCAAAGCCAACTGTGTTTGCTAATCGGCCTTCTCGAAGGAAATGTGGAATTGTGTTGTACTTCAAGGATGGGAGATAGTCCACAACTTGGAGCAAGCCTCCTATGGACCTTAGGCTCCTGTCCTCCCACAGAGACTGGGAGGTGGGCTCTATCTTCTTTTGTGATTTTGTTTCAAAGAGACAGCTCCCAGGTCCTTATGAAGGAGTACTGGACTATAAAACTGGCAGAAGTTTGATCTGCAGAAAGACTGCCATCGGAAAGGGCAGAGAAAGTATGGACAGTTGCAAGTTTTCTAAAGTAAATCCCCTAAGAGAGGTCAAGGCCTATAATTGGAAAGAAACCTATCTACAGTCTACTCAAGCTGAAGGGAATGTTGGGTCCATCTCATTGTGTTTTGTGTTTCCTTTCTTTTTTTCCCCTCGCAGGACCGTGCACAAAATCTGAATGAGCGGCGAACCACCACCACCACCCTCACAGTGGACATTCTGGATGGAGATGACTTGGGTCCCATGTTTCTTCCTTGTGTTCTGGTGCCAAACACACGTGATTGCCGCCCGCTCACCTACCAAGCTGTGATCCCTGAATTGAGAACTCCGGTAAATGTGCTCGCATTCTTTTCCCTTCACTTATGCCTCTTTAACCTCAGTGACATTCTGTTCTAGGGGCTTGAAGACATATTAGGTGAGAAGAGCGAACTTTGCTATATTGGTATTGAAAGATATTTATGTCTAGAACCATTTTCAAAGAAGCAAAGTTTGGTCACCATGCATTACTGCATTCTTTACAAAGTCCAAAGTGTGTCGTGAAGCAACCATTCATTGGACACTGATGATTTTGTTTCTCCACCTATAAATCATAACCGAGTTCAGTTGCCAATCTGTTGTAGGAAACTTCAAGAAATAGCTTCAACATTCCCTTAAATTCACCAAATAAACACACAGTCCTAAGTCAGAAGACACACAGGCCAACAGGGTACTTGGTCAGCCTCTTAGCATCCTACGATTTTAGTGGAGGTTGCATTTGGCTGTTTGGAGGTGGAAGCTAATGGATCCCTAATGCAGATATCTGTCCCTTAAAGATGTACTTTAAAGAAGCAGAAAAGTAAGGCATGAATATGTATCTTGTACACTTGATTTTGCTTCTGTCTTGTTTTTGTTTTGGCCTCTTTTTTAAAATTCTAATAGAGCTCTAAGTTGCTGTCAGCCTGGAATTCACACCTCAGACCTGGCTGGGTAATAAATATTTATACCTAAGAATAAAAATTATGAGGCAAATATACTAAACTATCAATTTCTCCCTTAAAAGTAAAATAATAATAATAATTATTATTATTATTACTATTATTATTATTATTCTCTTTTAGAGAAGCCAAATTCATAGGGGGTGAATGTGTTTGTGGTACCCCTAGAAAGCCTTCAGTTTTCTGGATTAGTAATGTGGCTTATGGTGTCAGAATTTGTTGGAAAGTTTTGATTTTTTTTTTTTTTTCTCAAACATCTAAGAACTGTGCTTTGGGGTATCCTCTCTATATACGAGAAGTTTCAAGTATAAAAAAAAAAAATTCCTTCTCCTAAGTGTAACCGACATAGCATCGTATGCACTGCTAAGGGTTCTTCTTACCCAGTGTTGCATGTCTGAGCCTTACTTTTGAGACCAGCCAAGATTCACTGGTCTGTCTTCCAGCATAAATAATAACTGGTGTAGTTGGCTTATGTGAAGAAAAAAAGCTGGAGAAAAAAAAATAAAATAAATGTTATGATGTACATTTAATGAAGAAAAATATAATCAAATTTTCAGCTCTATGGAGTGATTTTGAAGTCAAAAAAAGCTAATGGGTGTGGACAAATAATTGTGGATGATCTAAAGTTATAGGTCAGCATAGGATTTTGTGGAATATACCAGTAAGAAGACTATTAATGATAGTGAACATTAATTTTTTTCTTTGAAAGGCATAATTGAAATTATGAGTAAAACTTATTTTAAGTATTCATTTTGAGTTAATTTATGTAGCTGTCATACCCGTGAGGTCCCCAAGAAGAGGGACATGGTGACACAGTGACTGGAGTCGGTGGTTCAGTGCGATAACTCCAACAGTACTTGATAACCTGAGGGAAGAGGCGTGGGTCACTGCCTGACAAGCAGAGGGTATTAACTTTGTAAAATACCCCCGAGCATCCGTCTCTCTCTTCCAGATGGCTGACTGAGCATCTCTCTCATTCCCATGCAGTGCACCATAGAGATGAGTCCATGCTCCATATTTGGGGGAATAAAAATAAACGATACTGGTGACTAATGGTTATATCGTTTGTTCCGTGTGTCATGAACTGGCCTAAACTGTACAGGGATATTAACTGCAATCCTGGTGGGTTGCTCTTAAGGTCACTTGTGGGACGACATCTCTGAGATACAGAGTTTATGTAACTTTTTTTTTTGCAGTCTTTTTAAAAAATTTATTTAATTTTACTTTTTTTCAGTGTTCCAAAATTCATTGTTTATGCACCACTCCCAGTGCTCCAACTAAAAAGTGAAAAACTGTTCTCTTTTAAAATCATGTCTCTTGAATTAAATGCTATGCTATAAAATCCAGAATGATCAGACTGTATGCTCCATCATCCCTTTTACCAGGTTGACCCTTTCTTTAACATTCTGTGAAGTGGAGAATTTTAATTTTATGTATTTAAGTAATGATGGCCAATATTTATTTGATAAGGGGTATATTTTTATTGTCACATAGAAAAAGCTAAAATATTTACTTGCAAAACTGGGCACCTGTTCTTATTATTAACCATTGCATAAAACAATCACTGAAACTCAGTGGCTTCCAATGACAGGTTTTTTTAAGATTTTTATTTATTTACTTGACAGAGAGTTATATAGAGAGAGATCACAAGTAGGCAGAGAGGCAGGCAGAGGGAGAGGGAGAAGCAGGCTCTCGGCTGAGCAGGGAACCCGATGCGGGACTCGATTCTAGGACCCTGGGATCGTGACCTGAGCCAAAGGCAGCCACTTAACTGACTGAGGCACCCAGGCGCCCTGCAATGATAGTTTTTAAAATTTGCTCATAAAATCTGCAGTTTGGGCAGGCTTGAGGGACCGTCTGATCTCAGCCCTACATAGCATCAGCTGAGGATCATTACCTGTGGCCTGGGTACCAGTATTAGAACGGTTCACTTAGCATTCTGACTGTTGGCAGGAGCCTATCCAGGGCTATGAGCTGGAGCTTCATTCTCACTCCCCACGGGTCTCCCTTGGGCTGTTGGGGCTTCTCACACGGAGGCACTGAGTTCAAGAATGAGCTTCCCAAGGGAATGAGGCAGGAATTAGCCTTGCAGTCTACAGTGTCCCTTCTGTTGTAGTTAAACCTCAGCCAGATTCAAAGACTAACAGTAGGTACCATCTCCTGATGGGAGGAATGTAGAAGTCACATTGTAAGAACATCTGGGGATGGAACTCTTACTGTGGCAATTGTTGGAAAATGAAATCTCCCATGGGGTGGGCATCAAGTTTCCTGGCTCTTTTCTGCATATGCCGCTTTGGAGCCCCCTGATTCACGAGGGTTCAGAACTACAAGTTTTGAGTTTCACATTCAAATTGCTGTGTTTATGTCTGTCCTTTACATTTAAAAAAAAATCCTTTCTTAAAAGTTTCCTTTACATATTTTTGCTAAAATTTCTAGAAATTTCAATAAATAAAATCTTGCTATTCAGAGTGAAAGAACTAACCATTTCTGTCAGCTAAACAAGACATGATGACTGTAATTACATACTTGCTGATCCTTTTCTGAACTAATTCTTCAATTTTTGAAAGCTTTGACACCTGCTCACCTTCTGTGTTGATGTGAAATTTTCCACCAATTACCTCAGTGGTATTCTTGACTTGAAAAACCATTCTTAGTTCCACCACAATGCATGCAGAATTTATCAGCTCAGAAAAACTTTAAAAGGAAATCTGGTACATTGTTTAACTCATGAACCAAAATATAATAAAAATAAAAATTGACTATTTATTGAAATACAAATAATTGTGTGTTTATAGAGAAACTTAGTATATGTTTTGTATGTTTTTCTACAACAGAAAATGGTCTTCAGCAAAAATTCATGTCTTCACTAAGATTAATACTATATTGAATATGTAAATACATAGATCTGTTGTCTCTGGGGTACTAAAGCAATTTGTAGTTCTGTGCTAATTATTATTCATTTATTAATTTGATAACTACGTCCTGGCCCCTGATATACGTTCAACTCTGTGTTAATTGAGGACGTAAGTAGGATGAGATTCTTTTCCAATATTGCGTAAATTTATTCTCACTTTCTGACTGTGAGCTTATTATTATGCCTCTCTGGTTGAAGTTTCCTGATATTATGGAAAATGCTGATAGGTTCTGGAGAGTTCAGAACCCATAGTTCTATTTTCTCTGTTTTCTCTTGAAGCTCAAAGACACAAAAAAATGCTCACATTTTCTTTTCTTTCATGATTGAACAGTCAATCTTGTTTGGTTGGTTGGTTGGTATTTTTCTGAGTGATTTGTCTCTTGAGAGAAACACTGTAGTATTAGTATGATAATATTGACATTTTATCTGTCAATATCTGTTACCTAGATATACCTCCCTTAACTTAGTGCTTGCCAGAAAGGTCATCTAGGCACTGGGATCCATACTCCAATGAGCTCTTCCCATCCCTGTTGAGTTGGGTCCCAGGACTGTCTACCCACATGCACCTGTATATAATTGTCTCAAAGAACTCTGGTTTTCATATAACTGTCAAAGACAGCTTCCCTGTTGTATTTATGGTTCTCTCCCCTTCCAGGGAAGCTTTCCCAGTTATTATGGAAGTGGCACTGATCTGCAGTGATGTACAACTTTGATAATTTCATCTTAACTCATGCTCATTGAGCAATCCAGGAACGTGTTCCTGTCCTCTTTTGTGAAACTACTGGTTTTTCTTCTCCCCTCCATGGCCCTGGGTTTCTCCTCCTACATCTTTGATGGCTTGTTTTTTGTTTTATTTCCCCCTAGTTAAATATCTCTGCTTGAATTTTTACTTACATATTTGTTTAATCAATTTTTTGCTTATTCTTAAATATTGATGATTTTCCAGACTTCTGTTCTTTTAAAATTTCTTTATAATTTTCACTAAGATTCATCAAACCATCAATACCAAGGGATTCTAGTTTTCTTCAAATAGGAATGATCTGTGTGTTGTGGAAGTGTTTTCTCACTTGGAATCTTTCCCGACTTCCAACCTTGCATTTCTCACTTTTTTAAATGTTTTTGCATGTGTTTTCTGCAGATGCCTCATTATTCTTTCTAATGTGTTCATCCATCTCTTGTCCACTTCCTGTTACCCTAGAGGTCAATGTGGATTAGGACCTTGACTTCACTGACCCCTACCCCAAACTCAATCAGTTTCCACAGATCCCTTCTGCACTGTCTGTGAGATGTTACTCACATATGTGTGATACCCAGTTCCACTGCCAAAATATGCATTTAAAGACACAGTCCCTAGGCACCTGGGTGGCTCAGTCAGTTAAGCAGCTGATTCTTGGTTTTGACTCAAGTCATGATCTCAGGATCCTGGGATCAAGCCCCAAATG